GATCTGTCATCGGTTGCACCAAAATCAAAACCAGTGGTAATGCCGCCTTCACATGCTATCGGAATTATAGCAAATATGAGTTTCCTACTTAAAAATTGGACATGAACACCCTCTCAAGTCATATTTAGCACTGGGAAGCTCAGGAATAATTTTGATACCCAAGACCCTATGTTTTACGTGCCATAAACTTTAAAAACGATTGCTGCTGTGACTGATATTCTTAATTAATTTATTCCACAACAGTGACATCGCCTTGTCTTTTCATGAAAGTTATGCATATTTACATATATGAAAAATCATTTGAAGCATAATTGTATGTTTTATACACACCGGAAATAGCTTGTATTTGACCGGAATTCCAGAATCATCATCAAGCTGACTATCTAGATAGCGTGGTGAATGTTTATATGGTTGTCAATGAATGGGACGCTAAATATAATTTTGCATTTAATACGATTTTCCAATAAAATAGGCAAGAATAGTGTTGTAATATAATGTCTGCACAGTGGCGCAACGAGATGCGCGACAGGCACTCTGATCCAAAGATTGTGGGTTTGAGTCCCGTGTAGGACATCTTAATTGGGGGCAGTCGTGGCCTAATGGTTAGAGAGTCAGACAGGTAACCTGAAAGGTTGCGAGTTCAATTCTCTATGCTGTGAAAACTTGTCCTGGCTCAGTGCATTATGGGAAATACGTTTTTTAATCACCTGCCAAATAAATGCTGCATTGTTTTTTTTTGTTGTTTCCCCCCCCCTGCTAATCTAAAACTAGATAATTTGACCTTACACAAGAACTCGTAATTTGTTCTTTCTTCACGACTTAAGGTGTAATTATCTGGACCTTCCCACCTTTCGTCTAGCCTCAGATGTTAAGACGTAGGAGACTTTTAATGAGTTTTTGTGTGAAAGCTAAACACGGTAGGAAAGGTGCTTCGACTGAGGCATGAAGAAGTAAGAATTGAAAACTATGTTCTATTACATTACAATAAACTCAGTTGTTTAATAAATAAAATCAGATCCTTTTGACAAACATTTGTAAAATCTATCTGAGAACATTTTCCTCTCTTGCAAATTATATATTTTTTCATGTCTCTATCCTCATGTTTATGTTATTAATTACGCCAATGCCATATTGAGAAAGGCACGTCCGCATACATTTCGGCTGAATGAAATAATAGCCTGACCTACGAAAACAGAGATAAAAGTGGGGCGAAAACGGAAGACATAAGCGGAAAGAAAGAGCCAGGGATAGTAGAGTAGGGTAGAAGAGCCTCTAGCCTCTCATAAATAGAGCTAAAGAGGCTGGGCAAGCCTCTCACTGCCTCTCTCCCAACAACGCTAATTATCAACCAAAGACATGCTAATTACATGGAGCTTTATTGCTAATGTAGCGGGCTGCTCTTCAAGACGCCCACACGCTGCGCCCGGCTCCCCTGCCTCTCCTTATCCTCCCACTGCACCCCACAGGCACTCCAGGCAAAGACAGGAAAGATTGCTCGGATTTGTGTGTTTTATATGAGTGTGTGTGTTTTCGCCCGTTTAAACAATGCTAAGTCTATGTGCGTACAGCACACGTTTGAGACCGTCCAAAGCCGATACGTGTATCACACAAGCAAACTCTCACACACTCTACAGCTCAAAGCTGAACTATGGCACTGACACCCCTATGCCGAGTTCCCCCTCCGGCCCACCCCAAGGCCTCGTCCCCATCCTGCCATCACAACAGGAAGTCTGCTTTGTTCCTCTTTACCTCCTACCGCCCACATCCCCTGGCCGTGATGTAACCTAGCAGCAGAAAAACGGGGCCCTGCAGGAGCTCAACGCTTCAGCGTCGACAAATCCAGTTAGGGCGGCATTTTAGCCACCTTCAAAATCGATTTCTCAAACACGAAATCTGGCAAATTGGAAAGAAACTCCACTAAAGCTGTTGCTTGGTGATGGGAGCAGTTTGACTCGCTATGCTCTTTTTTATTTCCTTTCTACTTCAATGTTGGCGTGTGCTGATTCTTTAGTGTGCTTAATATTTCTGTCTTCACATGGCAAAGCAAACCGTGATACACAGGACCTGCTTTTTAAAGGGATAATTCAGCCAAAAATGAACATTTTGTCATCACTTACTTACCCTCAAGTTGTCCCAAACCTGTATGAGTTTCGTTCTTCTGTTGAACACAAAGAAGATATTTTGAAGAATGTTACTAATCAAACAGTTGACAGTAGCCATTGACTTCCAAAGTGACCAAGACCGTCAACTGTCTGGTTACCAACATTCTTTAAAATATCTTATTTTACGTTAAACAGAAGGACGAAACTCATACAGGTTTGGAACAACATGAGGGTGAGTGAATGATGACAGGATTTTCATTTTTGGGTGAACTATCCCGTTAAGCAGAGTGCAGCACTTTGCAGTTGTTTTACAAGGTTTCAAAAAGTTAAGCATATTTTTACAATCTCAGAACTCAATAATAAAGACAATTTCAGGTCTAAAAGACTAAACTAAACTAAACGAGGTTTTGTTAAAATTGTGATAATGACTCGTTATAGTCTTGAAAGCATGAAGTAATGTTTGAAATGTAATGCATTTTAATATTTTGCCTTTAGAATTGTATAGCTGGCATAGTGTTAAATAGCGGTGTATTTTCCATCTTTCATTTTAAATTATAATATGTATGATATATACTAAAACAAATCAAATAAACTAATTTTATTGTTATTCCTGTTTATTGTACAGGTACATTTAATGAAAAATTATTTAGATTTTCTTTTTTTTTTAAGTCCACTTAAAATTATGTCAGGTAAAGTATACATCTTTATTCCTTTTTGCTGGGCCATGAATCTGACTTTACATTCCATTTGAATCTCCCCTGATGATTCCAACATTGCAATGAAAAATTTGAACTTGAATGGTATACCACCATTTCAGTGTAAATTGGACCTGGGATCTTTATACATTTCTTCCTTCAATTTCTAAACCACTTGCCATGGAGTATGGACTATAATACACACTAAAAAGTATGACTGTTCAATCACTAATGAGAGTTTCTGAGAATTTCAATATGAATCGGAATGATAAATATTCTAAGAATAAATCACAGAAAATCTAGTATTTACTTGAGTCTTTTCTCAAGTGCAATGCACAGCTGCTAATGCTTGGAGTGCATTTTTATAATTGTACCTTGATGCACTATAGGTATAACAAGCACTTTCTTTTTTGCCCTTTAAATCTGCATCAAGGTCTGAGTTTGTATAAGAGACAAAAACAGAGGGCATGTTTCACACTTTATGACAGATGAACTTCCAAAAACCCATCTTTGCATTTGAGATGATAATTTTCTAGCGCATAAAAACAAATTAAAAATATATAAATTAGAAAAGAGATGTCACGCTGGCTTTATAAGATATATGCATATGGAAATAGTATTGCTGAATATGTAAATAAACGAAAAAAAAAAGATTGAGCCAGTGTACACACAGCTGAAATGAAGATTGAGCACAGAGTGAGGGGATAAAAAAGGAAGTAGACAGAAAAACATGTTTTTTTTCTGACTCTAAGTGCAAAGCAATTGGATTGCACTTAGATTGAGAACAACTCACTTCACAAACTCACCCATAGATCTAGTGATATTAAGAACCGTTTGGGGATGTGGACCTGTTCGTGTGTTGTTGCGCTGTAGGCATGGCAAGAGGACACCTTTTTAAAGCCCTTTAGTCCTTCAGAGGACCACCTTGTCAACCCATGTGTGTCACCTTTTCTTGTCAAGATGTGTTGTGACATCTCAGAAAAGCAGATTACGTGACCAGCTCACGCTGCAACATGCTTTTGGATGTTTGCCGCCAATCGCTTAGCATGGCCTGACCTCAGGTTAGGTTAAAGGCAGGAACCAACAAACGTGTCTCTAAGACCTGCCTTAAGCAGCATTAAGCTGATTGAGAAAATGCAGACATTAAAGCAGCAGGCATTCAAAAAGAACAGTGCAATGAAATAAAGCATGACACTGGATGTATTTAGTGCACTTTTCATATAGTCTATTTTCTAGTCAATTAGACTGCAAAAACATGTTGTTGGGTTTGTGTCTATAGTGTCTCACCGTGACAAGGGTTGAGCTGAAAATAAGGGTGCAGCGGCACTATGCACAAGGAATCTAGTCATAGTCACGTGTTAATGATACATTTCGCTAACTGAAATATCACACACGAAACACTCATTTATGTACATCTTTCAGCATACACACTCACTATTGCAGGGGTTTTCAACCTTTACAGACCCCCACCCAGACTTGCATACAGGTACATCCTAAGGGACCCCCAAAATCAAACTCTATTCTATGTAACATTTTGTCATAAGTTTCATTTTAAACAGCAACTAAACGTTTATCAGATCATAAGTTAATGTCCATTAAGGGGGGTGTTCTGACACGATTCCATGTGTCTCTGTGTTCAAGGACTTTTTTATTTTGATGTTTCTGGTTTCAGTTCCTGTGATTTAGTTCCAACATTAAATTGATCAAAATTGACAGTCCAGACATTTATGATGTCACAAAAGATTTCTATTTAAATAATAAATGCTTTCTATTAACTTTCAATTAATAAAAACAGTCTCATTGTTGCCTCCTTGATCATTATCAAATGTATTATATATGTTTCCACCCTAAACATTTTTGGGGGTGGAAACATTTTTAATTTTAAGAAAATTCAGCTTTGCCATCACAGGAATAAATTACATTTTAAAATATATGATTAACAGTTATTATTAAATCGTAATTAAATTTCACAATATTACAGTTTTCTCTATCTTTGATCAAATAATTTCAGCCTTAGTGAGCAGAAGAGATTTCTTTTAAAAAACAAACTTGATGACCCTGACCCCAAACTTTTGAACAGTAGTGTTTTTTTTATTATTTTTTATTATTATTATTATAAAAATAAATAAATCATTATAATAGCCATACTAATAACCTGCTGACAGTGTGGGAATGTCAGGTAAGTGTGTTTAGAGAAACTCACCTCCACAATGTCAGAGTTGGTCCTGCTCTCATGTGGCTCATTGTACTCAGTGTATTTGAGCAACACTTTGTCCATATCTGTGCTGGCATACTGGAACAGCTTGTTGGTACTGTTGAAGATGATGAGGGCAATCTCACAGTCACACAACACGCTCAGCTCATAGGCTTTCTTCATCAGGCCAAACTTTCTCTTCGTAAATGTCACCTAGAGAGAGACAGAAGAGGGGAAACAAGGTTAGACAAGTCATAGGCTTCACTGACGCCGTATAAAAACTGAGATGGATGACTCTATGTGTGTTTACTCAGCGCGTTGAATACACTCTTAAATATTCTTGACTCCCGAGATGTCCTAAATACAGCGTTTCTTCGGAAAATCAATGTTAGTTTTCTTTCCTTCTGTCTACTTTCTTTTATTTTCCTTTGTGCTCTTCCAAATTATCAGGAAAAATAGACAGTAGCGTAATAGCTCCTTCCTCTCATAAATCAACTGAAGATCTTTTAAAAATTCCATTCTTTAATCCTAAGTAAAATACTTATTTCACTTTTGCTATTATTCTTACATTCATAAGACGAAAAGAGCTTAATAATTGAAATTTATAACCTGTGTGCTCCAAAACCATGCAATAACCTTTCATTTAAGATTAATACAGTAACACTATCTGTGCCTGGCCCCTCTAATACAATAGTTCAACTATATAATTAGGATTTTATTTCATAATTAAGGTTAACCATATTCACCTCAAGCAAATTGGGGGGAAACAATTCGATTACCTGTATTGCACGTGAGGCAAATTCTCCGCGTGTGCATCTGTGTGCAAATGCACTTTCCAGCAGATGCGCAGACATACAAACACACGCACACACTCACGCACGAAGATCATCGCTGCCACGGAGTGTTTGAGAGGCTGTTAATGACTTCTCAGTGCATGTTCTCGTCTAAATTAGCAGCATTAAAAATAAGAAGCATCTCTCTCTGACCTCATAGGTTTCATGTCTCTTGAGCACTTAAATGCAGCGCTGGAGAAACCACACACGCACAGACCAGCTTCTGAGAAGAACAACACAGAGGAGAAACCTTGAGGCCTAACCGCTAAACTCTTCACCTCATAAATGTAACCAAAATGTCCCCATGCACCTGGCAAATATATGCATTATTTATTGCAGAAGGAAAATGCATAATTTTACAAAATATATTGTGAGTGTGATAATCACCAAAGCAATTTGATAAGGAAGAAAATTAGCATGCATTAGCATAAGGTATTTCTTTGATGATGCTAATTTGTTTCTGACGTTGTCATGGTGAAACTATTTAGCTTAGCTGGTGTGGTAAATGAAAAAATAAAGAATGAGCCCTAGTTATATGAGAGAGTAGATGAAGTTTTTGTTTCAGTAAGGTTGTGCTTTAATTAAAAAAAATATGGTAAAAAAAAACTTGTGTAGCTTTATTAAAATGGCAAAGGAAACAGTATCCTGTAAAATAAAAAGTGTTGTCAGGTAACCTACACATGTACTTCATGTACATCTAAATTAACTGGTTTTATTCAAGCCAAATTTAGATTTAATATGACTGAATTAGCCAAGAAAAAGGTAGTAATTGCTTCCTAAAGGGATAGTTCCCACGCAAAATAAAAAAATATTTACTCACCCTCATGTCATTCCAGTATGACTTTATTTCTTCTGCAGAGAACACATAATTTTGTCCACATAATAAAAGTTTGGGGTCCAAAATTATACTGGACCCTATTGACCTTCATTGTATGGACAAAAAAAGATTGCCCCACAAAATAAAGATTGCCATGCAGGTTTGGTGCAATATGATGGTGAATAAATGATGAAAGAATTTTAATTCTTGGGTGAACTACACTGTAAAAAAATATATATTGTTGGTTTAACTTAAAGTAAGTAACTTGGTTGCCTTAAAAAATGTAGTTAATACAATGAAGGAGATTGGTTTAATCACCAGAAACTCAAAAAAAATATTATCTGAACCACATACAGTAAATGATCTAAGTTGACTTGACAACAGAAAAATGTTGTGATAACAAATAATATATATATATATATATATAAATATTTTAAATTTTTTACAGTGTATATCCCCTTAAGAGAATAATTACCTATTACCAGTTTTTGTAATGTGTGTACTTGAACTGGAGTTCACCAATTTCATTTGACAGTGATTCATCTTTCTAATCTTTTAGAGATTATAGTTTAAAAAAAAAAAGATAGAGTAGTGAATCTCATCCTGCTGGTCATCTTCTATCATCATATTTCTAATAATTTATGAGCGAAGAAATGATGTATTGATTATGTATCATTTTGACGTTCATTTTGACAAGTCGAACAGCCACTTAAAGAACACAACTGATGTTTTGACAGCTCCCTTTTTGCAAGATAAAGCCAAAGCGAGAGTTTCAAGCTTCCACGTTGTGGCTTAGCAGTTCTGAGAGGTTTCTTCTCGAGGCTTCTGGAGATTTGGCAAGTGTGACAAGATGCAAAAAGAATAAGCCACAAATCCTCCAGTATGACAGCAGGTGGAGAAAAGAAAAAGCTGAACAATGTGTTTGATGAACAGACTTTGAATTTTGGATTATTTGAATAACAAATAGAGTCAGTAATTAATTCACACATCCAAAATTTGCACTGGGCAGTTCTCTGAAAGAGGAAGTAGTATCACACATTCTCAGATAAGAAGATATAAGGACTTTAAATAATCACTGTGGTCAAGCTCATAACTGTGGCTAGTGACATCAACACCCACAGTCACAAAACAACACATACTAAAGATACTTCACCATAGTCTTTTTTTGTAAAGCGGCATGGTCACATATATTCCTCTTTAAGTGAGCGGTGCCCACAATATTTTATTCTTAAAGGGATAGCTCGCCTAAAGATGAAAATTCTGTCATCATCAAGTCATTCCAAGACTTTTTTTCTTCTGTGGAACATAAAAGATGATATTTGAGAAATGTCCCAGTTTTTTCGCCCATACAATGAAAGTCAATGGACATCGAAACTGTTTGGTTACCAACATTGTTCAAAATATCTACCTTCATGTTACGCAGAAGAAAGAAAGCCATACGGGCTTGGAACGACATGAGGGTTTCTTTGTGAACTATCCTAGTAAGTTTTACTTTGAATTTTTTTTTTTTCAAATCAGGTCCACTCAACATGAGATGAAGAAAAATGTTTTTAAGGGAGTCACCTCGCTGTAACCACGATCTCGGGATCACATGACTGAATACTAGCCAAGTACTACATATTTTATCTCATCTGATGAAGAAAACATCATAATAGCTTTCGCTCACTCTTTGTCTCCAATTTTTAGTTTCACCATAATATGTAACTTGCTGGTATAATGTGATCACAAGGACCTTGAGGTGTGATGTTCTTCCTCCTCTCCTGCTCACTACCTGCCTCCACAATCTGTAAAGCTCATGAGCCTTCAGCGATCCAGCGTGTTAATTGCAGAAAATGCCAGTTGCAACACCTCCTCGATGTGGTGAGAGCTGCAAAGACTGAAGGACCACGGTTCGTGATGATCACGATTTTGTCTCTTCGAACCCTGAACCTGTAGACCGCAGGAGTGTAAAGCCCTTATCATGTGAGCACATTCTTATCATGCGTGACAAACAAACTGCCTAGACATAAATGCGCCTTTGCGCTCGGAAGGTGAGCTTGAACTGCTGTTCAAAGGACTGAGAATCACTTTCTACTGCCAAACAGAAAGAATGAAAAGGAGAAAGGAGAAAAAAGGTCTGATTCCCAGCCTGAGTGTGGTGTGTGTGTGTGTGTGTGTGTGTGTGTGCACGTGTGTGAGGGGGAGTCGGAGGGGGGAGGTCAGGAAGCACATTTGTATGCATTTCCTCTCATAACAGGAAGTGCCTGACAGCTTCCCCTTCACAATGGCTTCGCTTCTGCTTCCCGCCTCCAGTGCATTTTTCCCCCCTGGGGAGTTCCTCTAGAGGACAGAGACAGGGAGGATGAATGTCCATTTGTCACCATCTGCCCCTGAATCATGATCCATGCGACCCACGCACCCCAAAATCTCCCCGCTCACGCTTCATGATATACTGTATGAATCATAATGGTAAAAGTCTCACAGTAGGGGTTGTATTGACAATAGACATCAAGCTTATATGTGTGACCCAGCAAAATTCTGCTCTGTTCCCTTTCTATACATATTTGCTTGGTTGCTTTTGTGTTAACAAACTCACAGTTTATGCTAAGCTACACTGACGGCAACACAATTTGTTTAAAAGTCATGCGATATTTCAGCACATCGCTTTCAAAGCCTCAGTGAGAATTACTTGCTTGTGACAAAGAGAATATTTTGAAGGTCATCAGCAGAAACATAATAAGAAACAAAACCTGCGTGAAAAAATGAAAATGAGAAAAGCTCTGAATAATGAGAAGAAAAGTGGAATAACAATTAGCGTAAGAGGAACAAAAGAATTTTAAGAAGATACATTCTAAGAGGAGAAATTTGGAGAAGTTGCACTTCGCGGAAGCAAAGGAATTTTCCCGATGATGTTGGTGAAGAAGCAGAGAAAGAAGAGAGAGAGAGAGGGAGAGACAGATGAAAAAGTGAAAAAACACGCACAGCATGTTTCGTGAGGAGACAGGCGCAGAGGTAACGATCACAAGAGAAAGGTGGGAATCGTGGAGGGGAGAGCAAGGGGTGATGGGATACCCAGAGGGCCTCATTATTTTCTTGCTGTTAATTTCACTCAAACTGTTTTACACCTTTCTGTTGTTGATTGGAGAGACGCCTCTGTTGTCATGGGTGGCTGAATCAAGCACCGTCTCCATGCCATCACACCATCATGAGGCAGAGATGAAAAGAAAGGTAACAGAAGCCTACTGAACGTGTGGTGCCTGCATTTGCCAAGTCAGTTAGAGGGGTGAAAACCACAAGCATGTTGAGCGCCAATTAAAGTACGTACTTCTGAATGAACTTCCACCATACGGAGACTTCCAGAAACCTGATTTCTAACACAGAAGTAACTACTGACCCTATTTATGTGGCTTTCTGCCGAAGAAAATCCCAAAATGTAATCTTTGTCATTGTTCTTTTTGCTATTTGTAAACCATCATAATTCCCTTCATGTCCTATTCAAGTAAACAAAAATGAAATGGAATACAAAATATTCTCTTATTATACTTCTATTCAAATTTGGTCAGTAAGATATGCTTATTAAGGTGGAATTTATTTGATCAAAATAATAGTAAAAAGGGTTTTATTTTATTATTACTTTAAATGCAATTTATTCCTGTGAAGGCAAAGCTGAATTTCCAGCATCATTACTCAAGTCTTCAGTGTCACATGATCCTTCAGAAATTGTTCTAATATTCTGATTTTAGGGCTCAAGAAATATCAATCTTGAAAACATGCTACTTAACATTTTTGTGGAGACTGTGCTATTTTTTTCAGGATTCTTTGATGAATATAGTTCAAATAGAAAAGTTTTGTAAAACTATAAATGTCACTCTATATCCACTTAATATTTATATTATATAACACATTTTTTCAATGCTGCACAATTACAAGACGGCATCAAAGACTCCATACCATTTTCCTGAACTCAACGAGTCAACGAGACAATCATCTGTATGTGTTTGATTTTATTTTCCAAGACAAGTCAGCATCAGCAATGTTTATTCTTCAAGTAGAAGTAAGCAAATCTCTCATCGCCCTTATCAACATCAGACACTGTCCCGGCCTCGAATCAGCATTGAATCAAATTGAATTTGAAATAATTATTAGATAGATTCATCTCTCTCAAACGTGCCTGTAAGTGTACGCTGTGTAGCAGTGTGAAAATGAGTCAGTAAGCATGCTCTTGTTAGCGATGTGGCTAACACTTTTATGACACAGGGGGTCCTTTCATGTGACGTGCCCAGGAAAGTGTTTGAGTGGCTGAGGGGAATAAAGCCAGGCTCCTCACACTGATGCCCTCTGTCTAAGCTTCTGGGCAGCTAGTCAACGCCAGGGAGGCCTGCTGGAGGAGCCTTGCTCTTCGCAAGTGTTTTCAGGAGGTGGGCTATAGGCAGCCAAAGTGGCCGCCCAGGGCGGCTGAGGCCTTGTGCCCATAAGCATGGCGCCAGAGACAGGGTGGGCCGTAGGGAAGCTGCCAATCTGGGAGAGGTGATATCAGCAAGGAAATGATGGGAGACGACAGCATGGGCCAAAAATGTTTGAGCATTCAGATGATTTTTATGGGCCGAGTGGGTTTAGGTTTTTATAGTGTATTTAAGCTCTTAGCGGTTAATTAATGCAATAAAAAGTATATGCAATACTATTAAGTACAGAGGAATTACATAGGGTTAGGGTCAGGGATAACAAGAAAACAATTTCAAATAAACTACTGTTCAAAAGTTTGGGGTCAATAAGATTTTTTAAAATAATTTATGTATAATAAATATTGTATACGGTTTCCACAAAAAAACTAAGCAGCTATATATAAAAAAAAAAAAAACTATATATAGTGTTCTAGTGCTTTTGTCTTTTTTGGAGCTTGAGAGATATGAATTGTCATTATATGCAAATGAGCTGCATAACGACTGTGTGCTCAGTTTTCTAAAAAAAAAAGTAGAAGTGTGTAAATAATAATAAAAAAAAAAAGTCCTTTCCAATTATTCCTTTAAGTGCATATAAGCAGCACAACTGTTTTCACAAAATAAGCATATTAAAATGATTTCTGAAGTAAATCACACGACACTGAAGACTGGAGTAATGACTTTGTCAAAATCCAGCTTTGTCACCACAGGAATATATATATATATATATATATATATATATATATATATATATAGATTAAACTCTGCTACAGAATTTAGATGCATTTGCATGAAAAAGAGCAAACATCTCAAGAATGCAGTGCTTAAGGTAACACCATTGAATCAGTCTGTTGTTTATTTGGCTTCGGTATGGAAAGATTTCCTTAAAGAGGAAGTGAAAATATGCACAGCCCCAGCCACGTCTTCAACACATTAAGAGCTAGAGGGGAGAGAAAAAGCTAAATAGAAACGAAAAAACCCTTTGTAAGTCAAAGGTCCCCCATTCTTGTCTTGTGATGTCTGTCTTCACGGTTCTCTGGTAATACAATGAAGCGGGTTGTTTGCCACAGCCCCAGATGAATGGCAGCAAGAGGACAAGAGTCAATGATAACCCTTGTGCCAGCTGTCGAACATGGCATATAGTCTATAAATACATAACAATTTATGATGCATGTTTTCAGCAAAGCATCTTCTGACCAAAACCTCTCTTGAGAATTGATGAGCTTATTTGTATCACTTTGCAAGGCCACAGTATGTTTTGGCATTACTTTTCATTAAAGTTGTTGACATATGGCTAATGATGTGATACTAGAAATTAAGCATAGAAAAGTATGACACATTTTGGCAAAAGGATAAATGTCATGTTCTAGGGCTTCTGTGTTTAATAAGTAATGCATTACAAATAATTATACAAATTTAACATGTTATCTCTATTATCCCTTAACACTGCAATCGTGCAGCTTAGAAGTTTATTTTTTTGTAGTGTGCCAAGAGGTCAATTCCACACAGTGTGACACATCTGAACATTCACAGAACAAAAGTACTTAATTAGTATAAAATGCTTAATTTCAACCATATTAAAGAAACTGGCCAAAAGGAAATAAATGTCACTGTTTTCTTCCTTTCCCTGGAAATCTGTGGCATTGACTCTCATCAGGTGTCCTTCCTGTATCAATCTCTGATCTTGAAGTCTGGTTAAGGGGGAGTGAGAGAAACAGAGAGAGAGAAGGAGAAGAGAACAGCGATAACACCAAGACAGGATGCTCTCTGTGCAATCCGATAGCCTCGCCAAAAACATCCTGACCTCGGCCCCCCACCACCCCCCTCCTACTTCTCTCCGTTTCTTTCCTCCTTTCCTTTTCATCTGTGTTTATGATTAGAAACTCTGTGTCTCAGAGCATTGAAAGGTTATGTAAAACCAAAACGTTTACCTGAAAAGGACAATTCTGTCACTATGGATTATATTTTCTGTGGATGAAAAATGGAGAAATTTGAAAATGAATGCAGTTATTTTCCATTTAATATCGGTTGATAGTGACTGCATGTGTCAAGCTCTAATAAATAATTAGATAAATGAACTACAAAAAAATAAATTAAATTAAATAAAATAAATGCAATAGATTTGTGTGGGACTGCAATATAAGATATATTATAATCTTCCCATCACAAATTTTAGGGACCAATGACACAAAATATCACTGGTTCTCAGATGGATTACTTTTATGATGCTTTTCTTCTTTCTTTTTTGGAGCTTGATAGATATGCATGGTCATTGTATGGAAAATAGCTGCATTAAGACTCGTGAAAAATGTGTGTTAAGTTGTACTAAAATTAGTCGAATTGAATAAATAATGACAAACACTTATTTTCTGGGTGAACTACTTTTTTAAGCGCACATACACTCACCAATACTTCATTCTTCATAAACAAACCTTTAAATTCAAACTATATATGTATGTTATACTCAGAAGCAAATTCAATATGATGCCTTGTTAACATCAAAACTTGTTGGTTTTTCGAAAATAAACAGAAACAGAGAACAGAGAAGTTTCTGGTTTGAGAAGTACCTTGACTCATTCTTTCAGCTTTTGGCATGAAAGCCCACATGCATGTGAGCCTCTGGTTTCCTCAAGGGGGAGAACTTACTCAACCCACAAGTACTGAATGACTAATGTCACTGTGCCCCCTCCGTCTGCTCCGGCTGACACGCCCATTACTTTCCTCACCCGCTTTTTTTCTCACTTTCTCCTCCACTTCTCCTCAGGCCCTCACACTATCTTCAATAATTGATCAACCCACCAAGGTCCAGACAGCAGCCATTAACTGCAGCAGTATGGTCTCACTCAGTCATATCAACTGTTAGCCAAGTCCTTTTCCCAAAATCACTCTTTTTTTTTCTCCAGACCAGACTGAGGAACTACAAATGTCTGTTTCTGTGACAAAGTGTCATCCTGTGAAGGGATGTGAGGACTCTGGTTGACTGTTCAGAAAGTTTATAGAGAGTCAAGTTACAACACAGAAGACAAATAGAACAACCTGAAACTAGTCAAGGTTACTTTCTGTCAAACTGCAAACTGCTTTCTAGGCTTTCCTGGCTTTTTCTTTTTTTTTCTATAAGGGGGACAAATGTAAATGTCAAGCCTAAAGAACATTTATTGATCTTGCAGTAAAACAAGCGTCTATGTAACTGGCACCAATACGATCAATACAACTACAGTATCTGCTATGCATAATATCTGCCTGTTTTTGTGTGTTCCTGACTTGACTTGGTTTCACGGCCAGAGAAATGGAGATACGAAACAGAACGTTTTTCTAATTGGTCAAATTTGAACGCATTAACAGAATTAGTTTGAAGAACACTAACACACACAAAAAGCCAAATTAATTATTTTTAGATTTTAGTGTCATCCATGTAGAATAAAACAGCTTAAATTAGTCAAAGCTTTTTTGGTCTAGTTTGCTGGATTTAGAGGGGTTTTGGGCACTTGTCTGCTGGTCAGAAAACCATCGTACCAATCAGCTAAACTAGCTGAAAACCAGCTTGGCCAGAATTGGAGACCTACCAGTCCGACATAAAACAGCTAAAACCTTAAGCAGATTTTTCTTTTTTTCACCAGGGATTACAATTACAATTTATATTATTATGAACTCAGCTAAAGCTACAGATGATGAACAGGAGCTCAGTGATCTGAGAGCCGAGTTGAAGAGGAAAACTACTAAGGCAAGAAGGGCCCCTGGAGGGCCATCTTCTACCTCTGTGTTGACTCCACCTAAAGCCCTGAAGCATGTGGCATCATTCCACCATTGCCATCTCTGCGTGTTTGTGTTCTCCACCCACCCTGCCCCTGCTAAAGTAATATTCCACTGCCGTAAGCAAGAGGTGGCAGCGTGCGAGGACGCCGACAATTAGCGTGCGCACACCACCTACTTAGTCTATTTTAGTTCAAAATAACCCATCAAACTTTTGTGAAGGAAGCTGTCTAGAGTTAGTTTTTGGGTCCTTCTGGTCAGCGTGACTCACCTGTCTGTTGCGTTCATCCATAATCCGTGTGATCTGAATCTTTTTCCTCCCCATTGTCCCCGTCTTTTCGTCTCTCTCTTTCACCAATGAACTTTATTCTTTTGTCCCTCTGTTTTTGCTTGCGATTTCTTTAAACCAGGCTTTCTTCTCTTGACTTCCTCCGCTCACTTCAAAGATTCCAGTAGCTGTACCTGTGAAAGACAGAGAGAGAAAGGCATTAAGTCAGATGAAAAATGGCAAAACCGCAACGTTAAAAAACAGGGAATGGCAGAGTCTGAGCCACATGGGACAGCAAATAAAGACAAAAGAATCCGTAGACGTTTCGAGGCAGCGCTGTTTTCTGCCATCAATATCATGCAAATCAGATTCTCGCGCTTCGGCTGCGACTATGAGGGTAGACAGCACTGTCATGCTCTCTCTACAGTCACAGAGAATTTGACAGTGTTTTGGAAGTGCCACTAACTTAACAGCTCTAATCATTTGCAGTGTAACGCTTACTGTCGCCTGAACGACAAACAGCGCACTTTCCTAAACAACGCCGGTGTAACATCGCATAGAATTGTCACTAGAATGCTGAACGAACACACTTGTATTTCCCTTTTAGCTGAAATTTTGTGTGAACGCAACAAAACTGTGGCTGAGCTACGGTGCCCTGAAAGATGAGGCTCTACTATCCACGTATCATAAGATCTGAAGAAGAACCTGAATGGAAACCTGGGCCATCCTGATTAAGCCCTCGTCAAACCCGCTCTGGAATACGATCCCGCTGTCACGTCACGGCTTCACTCCGCTCTCCGTCTCTCAGGGAAAAAGGTGTGCGGGGCCTTTATCAGGCCCTCCTGCTGAGCCTTTTGAAAGGCTGCCCTCACCCGAGAAGCTAACCCAGGCTTTCTATAAAGTGCTCACAGCTCAGATCCACACAGTGCGAGAGCTCGCGATCACAGAACACACATGTGCGCGCACCGGTGTTTGTGTGCATGTGCGCACCTCTTTGGTGCCGTAAAGTAGGCCAACCCGATTCATCTCTGGGAGGAGCGGCAGAAGTGTTGTTGTGTTTTATTCTGACAGTAGAGGTGATAACGTCCCTCGTTATGCAAATGAGCGTCCCATTATTTAAGCTTTCTGTAATGCAGTAAAGCTGTCAGTGGTGTCACGTTAAAAGCCCTCCATTGCTTTCTCTTTATTCTCTGGCTCTTTTTCTTCTTTCTGAACCAGATTTCACCTGCCAGAGCAAGCAAGGAACATTGATGTAGATACACCTAAAGGATACGCTGCGCTTCTCACGTCTCTCTCCGCGCTGCCATGCTTCTCTCATTTATTAATAATCAAGTGTTTATGGGTGGAGTAGGGGTTTGAAAGTGTTCGAGAGACTTTTCCATGTCATACAAGTTAAACCGCAAGCAAACTCTAATTTCATTGGCTGAGATCCATTTTCATTTCATAGGATGCTGCTAATCCACGAAATTCCACACATAATTGTTGGATTCCTTCGGTGTTGTTGAAATAGAGTTGTTAAATACATAGTTTCTTCTCTACAAATACAACCGTGTGCTGATGTTGATATAATGTATTTTCCATTGTCTCTAATAATAACTGTGAATAAGATTACACTCTATTAGCATACAAACAAGAGCGCTCTGTACTTCACCAAGAGTTGTTAGCTGGACTGTTAGCGAGCACGTCTTAATGTGTATGTGGCGAAATCCGAAGCGGCTTGATGATTGTTTAGAGGACCACTGTAAAAGACATAATACAAGGAGCAAAACAACTCAACTACAAGCTGGTGATAATGACTGGACGCCTGTGTAAATATTTACCCACTGTGCAGCCAGCAGAACCTGGCGTCACCGAGTGCGATTTCGCTGCTCGCACTTGAAAGCTGATTAAGTAGTTAACTCAATCAAAACAGGGTCTTTGGCTGCGAATCCAAGAGGAGCTTCCTCATTGATAACGACAGGTCCGTAATACCTGAGACAATCAAGCCACAGTCTCAACGTGGACCTGCTGTGCCTTACGTCATTTTAAACATTCTTTAATGGGCTTCATCTGGACACTGATTCCTGTTTACAGTGGCACCAACAATTATTAAAGTATGAACTTTACAGCATAAAAGTTGACAAAATATCAAACATGATGATATACCTTGATAGAAATTCACTTTTTAAAACCATTCATTCATTCTTTCATTTCTATTTTTTAAGTTTTTCAAGTTTTTGCAGAACTTTCCTCACCTTCCTCAGAGTAATGCAATAAAAAGTACAATAGATAAAAGAAAATCAAAACAATTATACATCCAGATCAATACACATAACAATTTAAAACAATACATTTGTGTTGATTTATGTATTGTTTGTTTATTTATTTATTGTCAGAAAGTTAAATTAATGTGACAAGGTGTTGATATTTTATCTAATGCTTGCTACAGACTGTGCGATTTCAGCAATCCTATAAGATCATTACTAGATAGAAGTAATGGCTAATAGGCTAGTAGGCTAGTATAGAAGAATGCAGGTTAGTACAGACGAATAAACCGTAATACGCATGCGCTAGTGATAAACAAATAGAGAACGATTTATCGCACTTTGGCAATTGTGGTTTTTATGTGCGAGGAGGAAGCGAAAGAGGAGATTATGGAGAGGCGGTCATGGCTATGGGAAAAGAAGCCAACTTGGCAAGCTGATTTTGCAAATGGAGCTTGAGGTAAGTAGTTTTAAGTTTTAGTGCCATGCTTCATGACACTGTCAGAAAATTATCGCAGGCTATCTTTGGTCGCAAGACCGCGACAACGGACGTCTTTGAACCTCTCTTACTGTATGACGTAGGACCATCGTTTAGGAGCCACGGCCCCAGAAATCACCACCATTGGTCATCTTTCGTCTGGGACAGCCCAAAATCGTACAATGTGTTCCGGCATAAAGCATAAAGCTCTCTCTCTCTACATCATCCCCTCCTTCACATGTACACATGCTCACATTCATCTGCTTTCAGATTACCACAGATGAGCACAATCCAATTTACACCAGTAAAGCCGAACTACAGTGCAGACAAGTTGTGGTTGATCAGTAGCCAGCGGCGCTTTACATGTGAAAATAAGGTTCGACTCTCATAAAATATCTGATCAAATATGTCTGATGCACAAGTGTGGCTGAATCCTGTCAAAAGCACAGGAACAAATACTGTGTGTTTAAGATCAAATATGTGTGTGAGGAGGTTTTAAAGCTTATATGTGCAATTATACCAGAGAGAGAAAGAGTGAGGCGAAGAGGGACTACTAACAGGCTTTCTCTGCATTGCTAAGCCAATTCACTAATCCACAGCCAAACCATATGGGAAGGGTGAGAGAGAGAGGGAGAGAGAGATAGTCAAGGGCCAGAAAGATCCCTCCCCCAAAAGAAGCTCAGGACAGGTTTGGCATAGTGTGACAGGGAGAAGAAAGCCTGGAATAGGGGTCATCACCAAGGGCTTAAGGGTCATGGAGGGATGCTACAGGACAGAGAGGGAAAGATAAGACAAGTTAACCCACAACCTTTCTCAATTGATATATTGGGCTCAAAGCAAGAGCACAAAGAGCAAACATGAGCGGAGGGAGAAAACCAAAGGAAAAGCAGAAAGATGTGAGCAAGTCTCTCTTGAGGAAAGGGAGGAGAGGCTGCCGTCCACTTAACCATGCCTCTCTTTCTCTGCCACAGAGCACAAGGGTGGTGGGGGAACGAGGAGAAATCGTGGGGGAAAAGGAGAGAGAGGTGGGGGTGCCGGCACTGGGATGTAATGAGGTGCTGTGTTTTTCTCTCTTTCTCTCCTTCTCTCTCTCCTTTTAAGAAATGGAACTGTGAGGGCAATGAGTACGTTCATAAACAGGCACAATTCTGGGTCGGCTCGGTCCCTAGTGTTCCACCAAAAAAAAAAAAAAAAAAGTATATATATTTTGCACGCGATTGTATTGTCAAAGTCTTAATAAAGCGAATATGACTACTTCTCTGTGCTCAGCGATATAATTTTGTTAGGGGAAAAAGAAACAAAGCAATTTTTTATTTCTCTAAGGGGTCTCGTGTTGAGAATGAAAAATGATTAAGATGCAAATACCATGAATTAAATTTGTAAAAAAAAATAAAAAAATAAAAAAGTACAGAGATTGTATGTGATAATGAAACACTTGTTTTGAGGAGATATACAACTCTGGCAGGTTTCGCTTTTATTGAGATCTGGCGTAATCTGTGAGGTGCAGGGGGGTTATAGAGCAGCGCTGCTTGACTCCCACCACATTAAAGTCATCTGTATGTTATTATTACAATCAGACAGGAGCTGATCTTTTGAGAAATCGACCTCAGCACTATGTTGCCACCCTTTGTAAACTCTCTCGCTTCCACTTTCCCCGTTTTTCTTTTCTTTTCTTCACAGCACATCTGCAAGACATTTGGTACTAGTGTGTGTTTGAAAAAAGGGCAGTATCCTCTATCCTCGTGGGGAAATGTGGTCACGAAGATTTAAAATAACATATTATGGGCAAAAAGTAAACCTTTTAGGAGGTGCATGATACATTAAATAAACCCTCACTCTTTTAAAATAAACTACCATTTCCTTGAAGAGGTCAACAATTTTTAATAATGTGTCTTATGAACAATTTGAACACAATGGTACACTTTTGAACCTTCTTGGATGTGACACTTTTTACCACATCCTAATCTTAAAAAATGTTCATGCTGTACTCATTGAAACTAAAATAATATTTATTTACTCCCATGTTTTTTTTTTCTTTTCTTTTACACACATATTTTTATGTGGTTTGCACTTAAAACGGGGCAGGGAGCCCATACCGAGAGAGTTAACAGCCTATTGTCTGTATAAAGTCATTATGGCCAGTGCTTCTTAAGTGTGGCAGAGTCTGCCTGAGGGACGAAGCTGAAGAGTGCCCATAAATCTTGGCAGTGGAAAAGACACAGGACGGGTGACCTGAACCTGAGATCAGGATCAGTGTGGGAGGAACCCTGGCAGTACAGATCTTAATGAGTGCTGCTAAATCCACATACACAGTAAAAAGTGTGTACAACATTTTTACTGTATGTGGATTTTAAAATTTGAATTAAAGTGGACAGGAATAAAAGGGACAGCTACAACGATACATAATATTTAGGTACATTTTCATTTTACAAGGCTGACTTTGGGCAAATTGACAGAAATCTGTTGCCACTAA